CCTTAAATCCGCTGGTGTAGGCATGCAGATACACCCGCTGGATCATTTGGTCTCGGCTTCCCGTTGGAGCTTAATAGCTGCAGAGTCCCAACATAAAGGGTGTTCTGATTTGGACCACTCCGCCAGCCCTAGGCTCTGCTTGAGCCTGCCACCTGTGCCCACGGCTCCACTGGGGGCCAGTAATGGAAGTACTGGCTGGGGTGTTCTGTCCAGGAGTGGGATTGTGGTTGGAGGGGTGTCTTCTGGGAACTCAAAGCCCAGGAAGGCAGTCGTGGGAACCAGTACCGTACGCTGGGTCCGGGAGATTGGACAGTCTTTCGCTGATGAGGTAATGCCGGGGCTCAGAGCTGCAGTCAGCAGACGCCATGGTTTGTGAGGATATCCGCATTCAGTCAGCAGAGCTTTGCCCAGGGTAAGCCACATGGACGCCATTTTGTGGAGCGAGCGCGGGAACTCATCCGCTTGGTAGTTCAGCAGTGGTGGTCTGTGTGGCATCAGTTCCCTCCAGTGGGGACCGGGATAACCCCCACCGGTCCAAAGGGGGTGGAGTCGGGGGCCAGCGGAGATTATAACCACGCAGTTGTATGACACCAGGTATATGAGCTGGACAGCGGCCGTCTCCCCCGCTCTACTCCCGATTAGGCCGCAGGCTCCAAATCTTCATTTCACCCTCATTGGGTCCATGGTGGTGCCAGAAACCTCCCGCAGCTGTTAGGTAGTGTTGTGGATCAAACCAAGTGTTTGTTTATCTGAGTACCTGCTCCTTTCCAAATTGTAAAAATAAATGCGTGCACGCTCTGAAGTAAATCACACTGAGACACAGGTATCAGGTTAATGAAAATTTTTGGAATGTTTACTCAGGGGGTGGCAAGCCCCTTATAAAGGCAAAAATACATCATATGCAAAAATGTAGATAACAGAAAGAATACATCTTTAATTGATTAGGTGTTAAGTGTCTTATCTAATGCACATCCTCTAGGCGTGATGTCACCATCATCCCGGGATTTTACTCCGGATTTAGGCGCCATCTTGTTACACGAGGTAGTTAGTCGGTGGGAGGGGTGCTCTAGCAGCCATTTTGAGTAGATATTGAATACAGGTATACACAGTAAATAGACATTTTACTAACGTTAATTTCTATCCATAACAGTAGCTTCTGTGCTTGGGTTGTAGCGTTGAGCCCAGATTTGCATTCAAAAAGGCCAAAATCTGCAGGAGCCCCTGCAGTATACGACCGCTCAGCATGGCGGCCAGGCCCATTTAATGCTATCCGTTTCTACAGTTTAGATTTTATGCACTATTAATATATCACCTATCCTAAAGTCTGCATGTTTATTTTATTTCATATTATGTTACATACCATCATTTAACCTTGCAACTAGTGCAAATATGGCTACCACTACGGCATCCACTACGCAAGATACAGCTACACTACCAATGTTGTTCTCCACTTATTTAAAAATGTGCAATCACACACATTGTTGTTAATTTGTTGTTAATCGGACAGACAGGTGGACAGATGGATAGACATACAGACAGATTGATAGCTGTTAATCAGCTGTATTGTTCCTGAAGAATGTGATATTAGAGATATTATATAAATCTCGTGGTCAATCAATGCATATTTATCATGTGACAATATATTTATTTTTAATTTATCCTTGATTTTGCTAAACACCATTTTGAGTAGTTATTTCATACTAATACAAAGAGGGATGAGTAAAAAATTTTTTTATCTACCAGCACTTTTCCAATACAGATAATTAAATGGGCCATGACAGGCGCATAGTCGTCCCCTTGGTCATTAAGAATAAAACCCCCCATACATACCCAATAATACACGGACACCAATATGTTGGGTCAACTTGTGTCCACAGCTTTTAATATTATATAATATAAATTTTAATACAAAAAGTAATTGTTAAACAATTGAAACAGTAAATAAATAACCCCCCACAACATCACAATGACCCACAAAATTAACAGCTTAACAGCATAATATCATAACAATATAACAACATAATTAACATTATAAAACATAATAAAGTGCAAACAATGTGCCCATATCATCCAATGTAGGGATATAACAAGGTCTATGAGAAAGCATTAAAATGGGAAAATTTTAATATGGCTGCCCTATAAATATTAACTCCGCCCATTCCAGATAACTAGCCAATCCAAACACACTAACTGTGAATGCCCGCCTCCTAGCTGTATCAAGGCTCTATTCCGCTGAGCTGTGCTGCTCCATGGGTTACAATCAGTGCACTGCAAAATATATACATAATATAATTATTTTCCCACCATTTTGTTCACAGATCAAATGAGAAGTAACCAAAGTACCAATATGAAAACACCAACAAAGTCCTCTGCCAACAAGCTAACTTTCCCAACTCTCTTAATTTTCCTGGTATCATCCATCTCTATCTTGTGGAAGGGAACAAAATATTTGTACATTCCTTAATATATGTAAAGAATTCATGATAAACATATTAGTAATTTTGCAATTTGCCTTGTTTTAATAACAGGAAGTCAAAATAATGTCCTTGAATATGATTCTGTGAGGTCATCAAAATCTGGTGATGTCATAATATGTTCAATGAGTTTCAGAGAACATTGGGGATAAGATCACTTAAAGAGCACAAGCAGTGGAACGACACAGACTAAACTAAAGGTGAGAGCTGATTACTTATACTAAAATTATATTTCTCTGAACATTTTGGCCAATATTTATAAATAGTTTTAGGTGCAATGTGTATTATAGCTAATCTGATAAACTGTACAGTTACTCAGTGTCTTTTGCCCCTATACATAATAATTCTGGCTCACTTATGATGTTGTAGTATTTCCATTATATGATTGTGTTATTTTATATATATATATATATATATATATATATATATATATATATTTATTTTTAAATTGTATTAGTGACTTGGGCTTCACAACCCTTATATAGTAAAGTGAGAATTCAACGTGAATTTCAGATTTAAGGCCAGAGTAGCCAAACTGAAAGCATAGCTGAATTAAAGAATTCTTCCTGTTCAGCAATTTAGAAATTAAATTGCAAATTATGCTAGCTTTAGTGTGCCTATAATCTTCTTTTATTAATGACAGTAGGCAAATGTTTTGCTTGACTTCCTTTCGTAAACTCCAACAGCAGCACAAATTGTAAATATGCATAAACCATTCAAAAACAAGTTGGAGGTAATATAAGCCCTTGTATTCAAAAGCAACTCCTTTTTCTTTGGTGTGAGAGATAAGAACAAAAAATACGAGTCTACAATGAAAAACAATAAATTCAACAAGTAGAAAGCTGTAAACTAGACACCAGCCAATCCTGTCACAGGGTTGAAACAGGAGCTTCAACATCCAGGAACATACCGTATAGCAGGATCAAGTTTTCCTGACACTATAGTGCCCTAAGGGTGCCCCCACCCTCAGTGTCCCCCTCCCTTGGCGCTGAAGGGGTTAAAACCCCTTTAGCTACTTACCTTAATCCAGCACCGGGCTCCCTCGGCGCTGGTGCCCTCTCCTCCCCCGCCGACGTCAGCTCCCGAGTGATGCGGCATGCGCGACAAGTGCCGCACGCGCATTCAAACAGTCCATAGGAAAGCATTTCTCAATGCTTTCCTATGGACGTTCACATCTAGCGTCGCAGATGCGCCTCTAGCGGCTGTCAGGAACTCAAACTGCTATGTTTACATCTGAAGGGTTAAAACCTGAGGGACCTGGCACCCAGACCACTTCATTGAGCTGATGTGGTCTGGGTGATTATAGTGTCCCTTTAAAACAAAAGAGAAATGTAACTATATTGTGAATATCTTTTTATTTAGACAAGAGAATCCGCTCGTTAATTTTGTATAGAATATAACATATCACAGAGTAGTACAAGACTCGCAGGTCTGTATCAATTAAATGTGAAACTGTGGAACCCGCAGGTCCCATGAACACGTAAGTAACATGTGAGACGTGCAGGTCTCAATTTTTCCTTTTCTTTTTTTGCAAATCTTTGTTGTTGTCGTGCATGGAAATAACATAGCTGGGCGTGCAGTGCCCCCAAGAGTAAACATAACATAGATAACCGTACAGTAGGTCAGCATTGTTAATATACTGCACTTTTTAAAGGTATGTTTAAATAGTAGAGCTAGCATAAAACAAGTCATTTTCATTTGAGTACATTTGAGTGAAGGACGTAAATGTAGCCAATAATGTCACAAGTTGTCATGCTAGTTACAAGTATCAAAGCTTGTCTTTCTGTCATAGGGTGAGTGTGCGATAAAGTGAGTATGGTGTAAATGCAGATATGTCAATGTGGGGCTAGTTAAGGGAGCATGTCGCTTATGTAGCTCAAACTATACTTATTGGAAATGTAACTATATTGGCCTTAAATTGGGGTCTTAAAATTCTTACATAGTGAATAGCTCGCTATTTGTGTAACTCAGTCTAAAATATAAATTCCTTGGAAGGACTCATTTAGAGTACTCAACAAACATTTTCAAATGGTTCTGCTTCATTCTGCTGTTAAGGCAGGTCAATCTTTTCATTCATTAAGACTTTTATCAAGATCTTTTTATAAATGCTTTTTGCATAAATGATTTGCACAAACAAAATTTTTTATAGTTAAAAATAAAACATTTTTGGGGGCGGGGCCTGATCCTCAAGCTGGCCAGACGTGCTTTATATCAGCTCCGACCAGCACAAGGCCTAAACAGGCTAAAACTGAACGAAAAGAGATATAATCAGCACGGAACCGAACACAGACGATATTCTTGACAAAGATCACCAAGCCTGCAAGTTTTACCTTCAGAAAACTGGTCTTTCGGGACAGTGGAACCGTCGGCGGGGAGAGGCGGCCGATCTCCCGCTGGGGACTGCACACCCCGTAGTGAACCACCCGAAGCCCCGTTACCCCCATCCCACTGGGAACGCTAATCACGCTAATCAAGCTGCCGCAACTGTGGTCTCTGATAACCCTGAGACCGTGTGGCGGAACAAAGATGGCCGACATGCCAACTGCCCTAGGAAACCACGCAGACCTTGGGAGCCCAGACAGGCTGGAATGCATTACGGACAGATTTGACAAAATGTGCCAAGATTTTTGGACTCGCATTGAAAGCCGCTCACGCATCTCCACCTCACCCACACAAACCCAGCGACAACCACTGAGGGCTCCTACCTCCACTCTGCTCAAACTTGCAAAACCCACAGTTCACTGCTTTACCTCAGCACCAAACTCTAGGAGGCAGAAGAGGAGGAAGCGGAGAGCTCGACGACCGCAGAAACGCCACCCCGGCGGCAGCCTTCACTTACCTAAGCCTCAGTCCAACCAGAGACAAGTCCCAAGGCACAGCCTGCATCCCGGAGGAACAAGGACTCGACATGCACGGCAGATCACTGGCGGCGGATGTGGAAACTACGCCCGGGCAGCGGACCAAAGTGCACTGGACTATGCCTGGACCCTGGGCCAGCGGGGCATCGCTATATGGGACTCGATCCACGAAGGCTCAGTTCACAGAGACTGCATGAAGTGGCCCTGTAGAGGCATCGGCTAAATCTCTGAGCCTCCGAGATTGGTGAACCCTACCTGTTGCCAGACCAACCACAACTACCGACCACCCTTACCATTCATATGGACACACTCCAGACCCGCAGACTAGAGAGTCCGGTCGTAAATGACTGGGGGACATACTCTGCCCCCCACCCGGTTACCGGGCTGATGTTTGCCTCTATTTTAATGTTTAACAGTTATTACTACGCAGGTTGCTGCCCAGATAAAATATGCTCTGTCTCCTGGGCCCCCATGGCGTCTACCAGCTTAATGCAGCCTATTAAGTCTCCCCAATGATTGCTTGCTAACGACAACGGCCTGCTGAAAACCCAACGCCAGAGTGTGCATGATTGCTACCCAGTGGTTATTCTATGCTTGCTCTAAGCTTATAGTTACACGCTTTGTTTTTCATGCATTTTATTTCACTTTACCCTATCAACCAGTGTTCTGCCTCTCTTGATCAAACACCACTGGCAAGACCAACCTAAGCATGCTTAATATTCAAATACAAGTGAAAGTTTTTGTCAATCTGCATGTTCTTAATACCTCTCAGCATATGTATTGTCTCACTGTTAATAAGCATGTTTTCCTTTAAAAAAAAAAAAAAAAAGTGAAAGGCCTTAATAGCCCCCATAAACGGAGGTTGGCAGCACAAGACATCCGAACTTCTGGGGCGGCCATAGCTTGTCTGCAAGAGACACACTTCTCCCAAGCATATCATGCACACTCCCCAGCAAAATCAAAAGGGCTTTCCATATATATACTTTCATGATGACTGGGCGTTCACACCAAGCCAACAACATACGGGACGAGATGGCCGGCTACTCATTTTAGTAGGCACATTAAATGGCATATTGATAACGATTGCTTCCCTATACGCCCCCAACGAGGACCAAACGGCCTTTCTCACAAAAGCACTAAGGAAGGTAGCAAAATACAAACAGGGACATGTCATTCTATGTCGAGACTTCAATTGCACCCCAGATCCCCACCTAGACATTCAACGCACACAGAACAAAGGACCAAAAAGGGCATCATTAGCACTGGGGCGACACCTAAGTCGATTACTATTTGAACAAGACCTATACGACTCATGGCGCTGTCTTTATCCAGGAACCAAAGATTACACGTATTACTCCCCGGTGCACATGACACACTCTAGAATTGATCTATGCATCATGGACAAAACCACACTAACACACGTCATGACGGTCGCGATCGGCCCTATCACATGGTCCGACCACGCGCCGCTTATGGTCAGTGGCGTCTCTAGGATTAATTTTTCGGGGGGGCACATGGAGGGCCAGTGACAAAAGTAGGGGGGCACATTTAACCCCGCCCTCATCGCAGTTTGACCCCGCCCCTGCCGCATGTTAAGCCACGCCCCCAACACAATGTGTTTTGTTTTTTTAATAATACCCGGTGGAGGATTCATTATTTTCCACCAGGGATTATTTAAAAAACAAACACATTATCCTTGATACAGTGCCATAGTTGCCAACATCTAAAAAAAAATTTCCAAGGACCTTTTGCAGCACAGCTATCAATTACTGTCTGGGTATAATATCCCTGGACAGTCAGTGCTCTCTGTATAATACAGGGTTGTGTGTATAATAAATTGGGACACTCAGTGCTCCCTGTATAGTGCTGCTCTCTGTATAATACAGGTCTGTTTGTGTATAATATCCCAAGACAGAGAGCAGCACTATACAGGAAGCACTGACTATCCCGGGATATTTTATACACACAGATCTGTATTATACAGATAGCTGAGCATATACCCCAATCTCTAGACTACTAGTACCTGTCAACAGCAGCTCCCAGAAGCGTGTAACAGGGCTAAAGTGTGCGGCAACTCACAAAGATTATTCAGCGGTAAAGTGCACTCGCTGGCAGAGACAAACTGGGAATCCAAAGCAGCCCTGGAAAAAAAACGTATGCCATTCCTACAAGTCAATATATATATATATATATATATATATATATATATATATATATAGTACAGTAAGCACACAAGCTCACTGACATGCGCAAATAGGCTTACTGACAGACAAAACTCTCTGACTCACACACAAGCTTACTACAGACACACACTTGTATAAACAGAAGGCTCACTACAAAGAAGTTCAGGGACACACACACAAGCTCACTAAAGACAAGTTCACTGACACACACATGCTCACTAAATAGAAGCTCACTGACACACACAAGCAGTACCATTTTAACAGAGTTAAGGGCCCCTGGGCAAAGCAATGCACTGGGGCCCTTCCTACACAACAACTCACAGGAATTTTAATTATTGATAGACTGCGGAGTCCATACACACACAGACTGCTGAGTCCATACACACACACAGACTGCTGAGTCCATACACACACAGATTGCTGAGTCCATACACACACACAGACTGCTGAGTCCACACACACAGACTCTGCTGAGTCCATACACACACACACAGACTCTGCTGGAGTCCATACACACAGACTGCTGAGTCCATACACACACACAGACTGCTGAGTCCATACACACACACAGACTGCTGAGTCCATACACACACACACACACAGACTGCTGAGTCCATACACACACACACACACACACACAGACTGCTGAGTCCATACACACAGAGACTGTTGAGTCCAGACACACACAGACTGCTGAGTCCATACACACACACAGACTGCTGAGTCCATACACACACACAGACTGCTGAGTCCAT